GGAGAGGTGCTGCTCTCCGCGACAGCTTCATGCGCGGCCACAACGTCAGCAGCCGCAGCCTTGCTGACATCGGAAGCGCTTGGCTCCATGGACACCTGAGCCGTGGTTTTAGTTTGCTTTTCCTCCTTCAAAGCTTCTTCGGGTTTTGTCTTTACTTCGCTGGCGGGGGGCGACTTGCTCTGCACCCTCTCTGGCTCGAAGGCGTTGACTTCAACGGCATCACCCTTTCTGCCCGTGCTCCTTTTGCGCCTCTGCCGCGTGGTTTTCTGACGGCCCTTTTCCTTCCGAGCAACTTCAGCTTCCTGCAAGGTCTCGGCCTCCTGTGCAGAGTTGGAAGATTCGCTGAAGCTGACTTCAGCCTCCTTGCTCTCCGCTTCTACCACCGATGGGGCAGAGCTGGGAACCGGCTGCACCGCGGGCTCGACGGCAGCCTCAGTTTCTAGGATATTATTCACTGCTTGATCAGTCTCAGGCTCCATCTCCTCCCGAGGTGACGGTAACACCAAGGGCTCTGCGGGGATTTCAGCTTCCGATTCAGCGGGATACGTCGGGGGTGCAGGAAAGCTTTCCGTCTCTCCAGAAATATCATTGATGATGGAGCCAATGGCTGCTGCCAGCTCTGTCTCACTAGCCTGATGCGCGGGTTTATCTCCTTCCTCCTCCTGACGAACTTCAGGCACATCTGCCGTCGGCTCTTTGTAGGCAGCAATTGACGGAGGAGTTTCGGTGAGTTTTGCAATATTCTCCACGGCCTGCTCGAGTTCAATCTGTTTTGCTAACTGGGCAGCTTCAGGGGACTGCTTTGGTTCCCGCATCACCTCCTTTTCTGTTTCTGGGAATGAATCTTCTACCTCATTCTTAGCAAAATGGGGTGGCAAGATGTCCTCTTTTGGGGGGCTCTTCATTTTGGCCGGCGACACCGCCACCGGCTCTACTTCCTCTTCAGTCGGCCGCAAGGCACCCTTGACTTCGTCCACATTGAGGCGTATTTCTACATTTTTGAGACAGACGGATGCTTTATCTACGACAGTTTTGGTATTCTTATACCTTCCCCTTTTGGATTTCGTAACCTTTTCCGGCACCGGCTTCTTCTCAATGATCTCAACCGTGGGGATTTCTAGCTGGTTCTTCTCCGCATCCAATTCTTTCCTATCACGTTTCTGCTCGCTCGCCGCCGGCTCTTTCTCAGTGGCTTTTGCTTTATTGCTGTTGTCACCGACACTCGATTCCTGACTGCTTCTTTCAGCAGCATCTTCAGATTCAGCCGAGGTATCGGCTTTCGGTTCATTCTTCCCTTTCTTCCCCTGTTGGCTGGTAGCAGCTGATGAGTGACTGTGTGTTAGCTTCTGGGATCTAGGAGACCTCCAACCTTCTGCAGGCTTAGGAGCTTCCACAGCATCTTTAGTTTCAGCCTCCTCCGCCTCTTGCTGTACCGGCTCTGTCTTTATTGGAGAGATGTCCTCCTCTGGCTTACGACGGGTTTTCGGAGGTCTTCCCCTCCTCGGGGTCGTAGGAACAGTTGTCACTGTTTCCTGAGGTTCCTTTTCCCCTCTCTTCCTGGTGGATCTAGTGACCTCCACGGAGTCCTTCACCGGAGATGGGCCTTCATTGTCCCCTGTGGTAGCGTAGACTGACCTTACGTTTCTGCGCCTAGTCCGGCCTATTGGCAAGCTTGGCTCCACGTTTTCCGGCTCTGCAGCAGAACTAGGGGATTTAGCAGCATTCCTCGAAACCTTCTCGGCCTCCACTTTCAATTCAGAAAGCTTCTGCGTCTCCCCACGAGGAGAGCTCGACCTTTTGAGTTTTTCACGGTCAATTCTTTCGCTCTTCCTCGTGACGGGCTTTTCCGTGATGTTAGCTGCAGCCGATTGCACAGGAGTCTTGGAGCGTTTACTCTTGTAGGACTTTTTATCTTTTACAACAACCGGAGGTTCGACTTCCATATCATTGTCAGAAACAGGCGGCAGGACCTCAGCAGCCGCCTCTACCTTTTGACTCGCACTAGCATCAGCGTTGGCAGAAGGCGGAGGATTTTCTTCTTTAGGTTCGGCAGTCTCATCGGACTTCTGAACTAGCTTGGGCGGGGGTGGAATCAACTGGGCAGCTTCAGGTTCTGGATCTACACTGATGTCTAAAGAAGCTCCGGGAGTAGGAGGCTTGGTATCCAAGTATGAAGGATGCTCTGTTGCCACAGCGTCTTCCTCTGGTGCCAGGGTTGTAGCAACAACTTCTTTACTAGCTTCTACGACCGGCGGGGGCTCGGTTTGCTCGGGTGGTTCAATTTTGACAGGAGCAGCAAGTTCAGGAAAAGGTTTTTGTTCCTCTGCTGTAGAAGCAGGTTCAGACGGTTTTTCTTCTTTTACAGAAGCTGTTTCCACCACTACCTTTTCGTTTGCTACCTTCTCAGGAGCAGCTGGTGCTGGTTCCTGTGGTAGGACAGCGACCGAAGAGGGACCAACCACTGAGGAAGTTTTATGTTCTGGTTCTTTACTATCAGGAACCGTTTCTGGCGTTTTCGGCCGGTTTTCTTTATCTTCCTGTTTTTCCACTTCCTTTGGTTTCTGATCTTTCTCCTTTTCTTTCTGCTGCATTCGCGTTAGTTCAACAAATCTACTGTGGAAGAGAACCACCGGTTCTTGCACCAAATCAGCTGCACTGTTAGTCCCATCGGAGGAAGACTGTCTCCCATACAATCTACCAGAAATGAAGTCGAGATCGTCGTCTTTTCTCTCTAAATGCTGCAGGCGCTTGGAGTCCTGTTCAAAGATTGAACTATGCAAAAACCGAGAAGCGAACAGTTCCTGTCTCTCTTGCTCCTCCTCTTTATGATCTTCTTTCTTATCATCCAGTTTTCCACCTTCTGAATCGGTCCTGATTTTTTTCTTTTTCATATACCAAGATGGAATAGGTCTCGGAGCTGAGTCGACCTTCTCTTTGTCTTTATTGTTTCTAAAACTAGCAAATCTTGAATCCCAATCTAGAAAGGACCAATTTTCTTCTCTGGACGAAGAGAGAGATTTAGCTCTTTCCAGCAAGGCCTTTGTGTCTGGTGTGATTGTCTTGTCCAACGCAAAAGAGTAAAATTTGTTTCTTTCTAAGGAACTTGACAGTCTTTCCTCTCTTTCACGTAACTTCTCTTCTCTGTCCCTTAATAAAAAAGACAACCTGGAACTCTCTAACAAGGACGAGGCTTTCGGGGAATGGGGCTTGTTTTCACTGTCGTCATCCGAATCTGAAGGCACCTCCCCGGGTTCCAGGTCTCGGACGGACCGCTTGCGTATGCTGTCTCTTTTGACGATGCTGCTCGGAAAGCTGATATCAACTCTACCGGGCTCCTGCTTCACTTGTGTTTCCCACCTACTCGAGTCATCTTCAGAACTCAGCACGGATAGTTTTATTTTAGCCATTTCTGCCATCTGCTCCCTTCTGCTGGAATCGTAAGGATTAAATTTCAGCGAGTCCTCCCTCACAGTCATGTTGGAATACGAAAGACCCTTTTCTTCTATTTTAGGTGACTCTTTGGTTTCCTTTAATGGCATTAGCCTCGGAGAATCGAGCGTGTCATCATCTTCGTGGAAAGGGAAGTGCCTGATGCTAGGGGAACAGGACGTCCTTTCGGAGTCCTCACTCACCTGTCGAGAACTTCTGTAGTTTCTTTCTCTTTTAGTGCTAATTTCAAAGTCAAACTGGTCAGTCTTTTTCCTTTTACTTGGTGGAGAGTCATCGGTGACATCTTGCGGAGGTTTTCCCACCTCATGGACCAAGCTCCGCCTCTCATATTCATCTACGTCTTTCTTTGGGCTGCCGAACTTCTCAGACTTGGCTATCTCCATTTCCAGCTGCTGTTTTAACCTACGACTTTGCTCCATTTGTTTCCTGTAGCTTTGCGTGTGGTCAATGTCAATGCCAATTTTCTCCTCCGTATCAGCTGACTGAGGTTTCTCTTGGCCCAGTTTATGGTCAGGTGTGTCTTCAGGAAGACCAGAGTAATTCTTCCTGGCATCCTCCCTCTCTGTTCCTTGGTCATCTACTAGCTGTACCTGTTTATGCTGGGGTTTTACTGGATTCAGTTTTTTAGAAGAGAGTTCCTGAACTTCCACTGGTTCATCGGCTGTCTCCATTAGCCTCGTCTGGAGATCTAGGGTGGGACGCATGCCAATGCCACCAACATTAAGAGTCTCCTGAATTTCTTTGGGACTAGTAACAGGGATAAGTCTTTCCAGTTTGAGTTTTTTAGATTCCCTTTTAAGCACCTCCTTCCTCAGGGGTTTTCTCTCCAATTCTCCTTCCCTTAACATTGTCGCTTCTCTAGACGAAGCCGTTGCATCAAGCTGCTTTTTCAAAACCATGCGTGCGTCTTCCTCATCTTGGCTGCTTCTTTTTGCTTCCAGTTTTTGCCTCTCAGTCTTCAGATTTGCATCAGCAAAACGTCTTTTACGAGCCTCCAACTTGTCTAGATCTACCGCGTTGGCCCCCTCAGAAGTTTGCTCTGTCTTCAAGTGCTTTTTGGGTTTCAGTTTTCCCTCCTTATCCACCACTTCTACGTGACTGGCAAGGGCTTTCTCTTTTTGTACCTTGGTTCTGACAGGTTCCAGTTTAGACTGATCAGACTTGGTTTGCTCAGCTTGAGATGTCTGTGTTTTTTGTTCAAGAAGCGGGGACTTCATAGTGTCATTATCAAGCTTTGCTCTCAGTTTCTCCAAAGCAGGCTGATCAATAACTTTCCCTTCCTTTTCTTTTACTCGGGTCAACACAACGCAGGGCATTAGGTCCAGGCGGTTTTTAGCTGTCCCTTCTTTGTCACCTCTCTCTTTACTTTGTTTACTATTGCCCTTCGATTTTTCAGGGCTGGGCTCTCTCTCATTCTCTTGATCCGTTTCCGAAGACTGAGAGCTGGGCGAATGGATTTTTGCTTTTCGTTTTTGCTTATCCGTTTTCTCCTTTTCTATTTTTTCCGGCTTTTCCTTTCTCACCAAGCGTTTCTCCTTGTCGATCCTCTCCTGGTCGAAAGCACGCTCTTTCTCCGTTTTTTCATTTTTTGCGTAACGTTCCACGCGGGCTTTGTCGAGCTTGTCATATCGTGGAGGAGACAGAGAGCTGCAGCTGCCACTGCGATCCGATGACCTGCTGTAAATCCTCCTCTCCGAATCGCTCTGCAGCCTTTCCGATTGCGAGGGAGACGCCCCAGGACTCTGCGGACGCCTGGAGTGCGTCGGGCTCTGGCTCCGTTCAATCGGTCTCCGTTCGTGGTCTCTGTCCCGATCGGATTCGAACCGTTCCCTCTCCCTCTCTCTCTCCCGTTGCCTGTAACTGTACTCCCTTATGTCTTGCTCATATGGATCGCCCCTGTAATCCCTGTACTCGCGTGGGTCATCGTAGTATCGCGGGTCATAGTAGTCTCCTTGGTAGGGATCCCACTCTGCGTAAAATTCTCTGCCTCGAGCTGGGTATTCTCGCCGAGGATCTTCAGGATACGTCCCTGGAGTCCGAACGGTCTCATAGTAAGTACGATCAGGGGCATATTCATAAGATCCTCTTCTTTCATCTCTGCTAAATATGAGAATAAACACATTAGTTCTCCTTCTCAACCGACGTACTGTATTACATTTGCTATGTAGGGGAATCATTTTACGATCATTTCTTTACGCACGCATCAAGGCAACTGTACACAGCTGAATACAGAGATCTAAAAACACTGAATCGGTGCGCAGCGGATTAAATGCTTTGTTAGCTTATTGAATACCATATGCAGTTAATTGGTCATTTTGTGACAGCTTTGCCAAGTATCTCTTCACCACCCTCACTGCTTCATTTTTGCCAAATTCAAATATTACATTAAATTGAGGTGAAACCTACACTGCACTTGTGTACCCAGGCGCAGTCTGTCACGGTGAAGACCACCCCATCTCAAGAACCTGAAACCTACCTCTGAAAACATGAGTCAAGTCAAAACTTGAGGCTGGAACCTCTCCATTACTAAGCAGTAAAGTGGTAACAAGATTTCTTTAAAAATGCTAAACCTTCTAAGTGATCATTTTATTCCAAAATTAGCTCTTTCGCTGCATGTGACATGCTGACGTTGCCTATTTACAGACCAAGTCAACAACAACAACAAAACAATCAGGTTGTTTATGAGAGCAGGTGCATTCATGGGAAGCATTCAGCAAAGTCAGTCAAGCAATTAGCGTTATTATCTCAATACCTCCAAATGGCAAAAATAAGTCATTTCTAACACCAAACATGCCTCTTTGGCAGAGGGGTGGTGTAGAGCTGGTGCTCCAATTCTCCACCATTACAGAGTCTTTTGCATACTCTATTTCATATATGTTATTTGGCTTCACAGTTTATGTTTTATGTTAAAAGCTGACAGCTTCCACCTTTGAAGAAACATACAAAATTGAAGAAGGAACACAAAGAAACAAAACAGGGAAGACAAAAACCTCATTCTGCAAGTGTAAGTGGGACATTGTGAAAGGCAGCTGTGAAGTTAAAAAAATTAATCATGGGTTTTGTTTGGGTTTTTTGTGGGTTTTTTTCTGTTGGGTCCTATTTAGACTGGCTACTACAACCTAAGAGAACCTGGTTAGTGCAGGTCTTAGTGTCATTGCAAGGGACTGTGAACTGCCAGGAGGAGCTCAGAGGAGGACTAGAAGATGCAGAATTACAAGACTTGCTGCAGAGCTCGCTCAATCATTCCATGATTCATTATTCTTAAGTATCTCGTAATGGCTGTGTGAGCATAATGACAGAAAAGGAAAAACAAGACTAACGTGTACCCAAGTATCACGTTGTTCCAGAAATCAGTGTTCTATTCAGAATTATTTCACGGTGAAGACAAGCCCAGCTGACTCCTGTGTGTTAAAAGACATCCAATAATGCACTTCTCTTTCCTGAATTTCGTGTAGTTCAGAGGAAATCATTACTGACTGCTTGCTGGCACATCACAACATCTGGCAAGGACTGGGGGACGTGCACATTTATTTCCATTATGCAAATCCTGATTGCCAATTTCCAAACCCTTTTCACTTTTAAATCTGGCAATTTTGCGTATATGTTAGACCCATCTATTTTGCTGCAAAAAACCACTGAATTTATCTAGCTCACCGGTACAGTCAGTGTCACACTGGGCTTATTCATAGGTAAACCAGAACCCTAACAATTAAGCCAGCCTCTGAAGGTAATAAAAATGCACCCACACAAAAAGAAAATGCTTCCCTTTTCAGCCTTCACTGTAGTCATTAGTAATAAGAACATGGATGTTTATTCAGCCACTGGAGGAAAAAAAGCACAAAATGCGGAGTGCCTGCGTGCCAGGCTGCTCTCAGCCAGGGTCCGCAGAGGTGAAGTGGCCATGCCGGGGGAACACAAGCCTTTGCAGCATGTGCACAATGGCCAGCCACCGTCATGCCAGATGCTGCAGAAGGACATCAACACAGAACACATTTTTCATGTCAAACAGCAAAAAAAAAAAGAACTGCAGCCTCACTCGTGTCTATTATTTTATCAAGTTAACAAACTAAACTATTGGAAAGGGGTAGGTGGAAGACCGAATTTTACCCTCTGCTCAGCAGACGAGCAGCAGGAGTTTATCAGACTATATATACACACATTAACATATACCTTTCTCTTGAGGGTACAGGAAGGCATTACAGATAAGCTATTCTTTGCATTCCTAAGAAATGATGAATGACTCACAACTGTGTCCTGCTGACCCATCACAGTAACTGGGTACTAAATATATAGAGCACGCGGACAGCCGAAACCTCCACCTAAGTATGAATTTCAGTAACCAACTACACTTGATAGACGTGTGATATCCTGTCTGCTTTCATCTGCACAGTTTAAGTCTGACCACCTAAATTTGTTTTAAAAAAAAAAATATTGAAAAGGTAAAAGACATTAAAAATATGCTAAAATGTTAATAAAACTTCAAAAAGAAGGCTAAAGTTGAGAGGAACAAAACCAAGTGTTTGTTCAATAATTATGGCCCAAAGAAAGTTTAATTGCACTGAAGATGATGCTGGAAAAGTAAAAGACTGGAATAAAGATATTGACACATGCCTTCTTTCTGCCAGCATTTCATAAAAGTCTCTGATGTCTTGACCCGTTTTCTCCATGGAATGATAAAATGCCAACTGACTTTCTCGATTTGCGAAGTCCACCTGAAAAATAAAGGATAAATCACGTTCAGCGAGAGAAACATCCACTTTGACTACACTTCACTGTCTGCTGCAGCCTGACGATGGGAGCAGAACTGAAAGCGGGGATGATAACATTTAACAAAAAGAAGTCAAACGCTTCTCAGGACTGGCCCTACGCATCCCCAGGAATAAAGACCTTTCTCTCTTAACTCAGTGCAGCTGCATGGAGCTATATAACTACCGTCTTACTGGGGTATGTTGTTGTAGCTGCCAGACCAGAGGCTTCTGTTCAGTAAACCAGCAGGAAAAATACACATTATTATCGTGGTATTGACGTTTTTAATACTACAACTCCAATTACAGCTCCAAAGTCCCTTTCATCTCAAGGCAGTGCTACAGCAGGTCAGCATTATTAATCTATTTCAGACTCCACGTTATTTGCCTGGGGTTATACAGCAAGGCAACAGCAGGGACGGGAAAGGAACCAAGCCTCCTGAATTGCAGCTCCCTATTCTAGCTACTCGAAGAGTTGATGTTTTCTAGCCAAGGGTGACAATATTACGAAGTTAATGGCATAGCCGATGCAAAAAAATAAGGATTAGAATGGATTTATCTACGTGCATGCCACATAAGGCAGTATTTTTAACATTCTAGCTCCTCTTTTTGTTTTTTAAATCAGCCTAGACATTTGTATAACCACAGCAGTGGAGCAGAGACATACATGCATCGTGGGTGTTGCTTGTTCGAAATTTGCTAAGTAGCAAGACCCACAAACACAAGGTACGAAACTTTTAAATGACCACACATTTTACTGCATTTAAAGGCTACTTATATTCAACCACTGCGCTTAGAAACTGCAGTATATCTGACTCCTAACCCCAACGGGTGTGAAGCTGCTAGGTTAATGCACCAGATGAGAGATCACGCTTGAAATCATTACCCACTCTTTAGGAGAGAAGAAAGGAGGAGGAGGAGGAAGATAATTCAGAGGGTTGGCTGACACCTCACGTCCCCAGTTAGTGGAACTGATGGGACAGTCGTAACAGGTATTACCACATTCACCCAAATCCAAGACATCCCCGTAAATGCTAAGTGTTGCTCCACGAAAAAGTACTTTCTATCTATTTTTTGAAGTAATGTTTTTAATTATTATTTTTTTAAATCTGTTGCAAGGAAGGAGCTGCCACTGCAAGAGCAGACCGCGTGCTTGGGTTGCGACTCCGGCATGCAAGCCACTGCAGCTTGCCTGGGCCAGGTCAAGAGCCTGGACGTCAGCACGGAGCAGCTGAAACGCAGCGATGTGTTATCCCAGAGGAACTCACACCCTCAGATTTCACTCTTCTAACACGAAAACGGACAAAAGCTTGCCTTGGATTTGGGTAAATGAGGTAGTAACACGGACACCGACACTCAGGAGCTTAGAGAGACAAGTTCAGTGAAACAAACGGCAGAATACTGGAAAAGGCTTTATAAGTAACGGTTCAAGATACCCTAACATCTTGATAAGCCGAGTATAAAAAAAATAGTATCAGCCTTTGATCTCTGGGACATACATGTCCCGCTAAGTATTCCTTTTGACTGGCAGTCTGCAAATGCCAGCATTTAAGGAGTAAGGCCTAAATACAATTTGTTTCTCTCTCTCTTTTTTTTTTTTTTTTTTTTTTTGGGTTTTTTTTGTTTTGGAGGTCATTCTGCACACCTTAATTTTATTCCCACCGATTTTCCTCCCCTTGGTCTCTTTTACAGCTGCTTGTGCATATTCAATCTCATTGTAGAGAACCAGGGCCATGCCTTTTAAGCGGTCAAACACCACCTGTAAAAAACAAAAAAACAAAACAAAAACCAAATAAGAGCCTCATCCACAGGACTTAATGTCAGTCCCAACAAAATCCTAAGTCATGAGGATACCAGTAAGAAAATAATTTTTAGCAAGGTAAATTTCCAGGCTTTTCTGATGAGGCATATTGTAATGAAGAGACAATAAAAGGACACGGGACTGCTTTGAATTGTGGATATTGTGGCTTGAGGTATATTATGCCTTTATTTTGTTTTTCTGTATTTTACTTTTAGTATTTTTTTTTCTTTGGCGACTGAGTTTTGTCATTTCTCTTTGTTTACTTTCAGTTGTTTGAAAAATTTCCAATGTGTTTTAGGGGGGAAAAAAGGTAAAGGGAACATTTAATCCCAAAATGGAAACAGTTTTTGTTATCACAGTCTGCAGTACCGCTCGTCAGTTGCTAAATGCCCAATTTCCAAATATTAGCTTCCTTTAGCAACATAAACTTATTATTCAAGCAACAACAGCTACAATAAAGAATGTCAAAGCTGCAACACAAACCCACAAAAATCCTTTAAGGAGGCAAGACCCCGATCCTGCGAAGATTTACACACGTTGCTTAACTTTAAGCACATCAATGTCCAACAGAAAGACACGGGACAGCTCACACGCTTAAGTTTAAGCATGTGCATAAATCTCGAGCACCGTAGGCAGGTAACGCACTCCCGCTGTGTGATACGGGTATGTTGCACAATCGTTGCCTTTCTTCTTTCACGTACTTTTGTCAGCGTGACTATCCTAACTGCTTTTAAAAAGTCTTTTTTTTTTTTTTTTTTGGTCTGATGAAAAAAATATAGTTATGTCTAATTATGTAATTAGCATGCATGAGTGTAACTACATAATTAGACTGCTGTTCCTCCAGTGTTAGCCTTCTCAAGAAATTTCGTTGGGGAGAGACTGTACTGCACAAGAGCAACAAATGGTTTCCAATACTTATTACCTCGGCTCATTCAAAATAGTTTTTGTTGTTGTTGTTTTCCAAACACCAGAAGCGACTGCTCTACGTACCGGCTCAACAGGATGCAAAGCTACAGAGCCCTGTCGGCCAAATTACACCCCAGAGAGAATTTCTCTACCTGAGCTATAAAGCCCTGGACAGTCGGGGTTGAAAGGACAGGATGGGAAGAAAGGAAGACAGTAACAACTTCAAACCACACGCCAAAGCCTCCCACCTACCTTTACCACAGGCCCGTATCGGCAGAAATGTCGAGTTAAATACTGATCCGTAACGTTTGTAGAAAGACCATCTAACCACACGCAGTTTGTAGGCATGCTCTTTCCAAAACCCAGCTGAACACAAAAGGGCAAAACTTCCATCAGTACAATTCACAAGTGTTAAACTAACTGAACAGAGCACGCCTAATTAAAGAGTTATTTGAAAAAAGCTAGTCATTTGTACCGGTTTTCTAAAATTAGCATCTCGCGCAGGTGCACACAAGACAAAAATCAAATAGCAATTAACGAAAATAATTCTGCATGCTTAAACAAATACAGTGTTTGACAACATTTGTTTCTTCTACAATTTGAATGCTTCTGAAAAGTGACAGGTTGACAGCTCTGGGGACTGACAGCCTCCGTTCATCATCAGTAGCGGCACAGCCTCCCAGCACGGCCCCGCCAGACGCGAACCTTCAAGGCCAGGGAATGTCAGTCTCCAAATCTACTCAATCCTGGGGCTCCTTGCCGAGACGGCCGACAAAAATGCTGATTAATCCCAATTACAGTGGTGGTTGGAAAGCATCACACTCTGATCTGACCTACGCATTAAAAAACACCTTTCTTCCGTAAACTATGCTGCTGCAAAATAGCCTGTCATGCTGTAAACCAAAGTAACAAGGAGAAGGATACAGTCCACGGGAGGATTTCTTTACCTTGAGCCGGTTATTTCCAAGATATTCCCCATCCATCTTCTTAATTGCTTTACACACGCTTGCAATATCACAGTACTGCAGGAAAACCGTTCACTTTCTTAATGTCGATATCCTGGGGAAAAAGAGAAGAAAACAAAACAATCGACAGTCAGCAACAGGCCAAAAAGGACGTTCATTCAACAGCGTCAATTAGATCTAAGTGGACTTTTTTTTGACACACACAAGTGGACTTTTTTTTTGAGCCACACACATGGCATGGCAAGCACTCTTTCAGTGATATTTTCTTCAGAGAGAGGATTTAAACAGCAGACGGTTAAAAACTTCATTGTTCTGCTGTATCTCATTCAATGGCAAAACCAAATCCTTACTGATGCAGGGAAAGCTCTTCATAACGCAGATTCAAAATTCAACCCCGCAGAAGTAAACCTGACCTGATCAACAAACAGTAGCTTTCGTTTGTTACTATTATGTCAAGAAGAGACAAGTCAGAATCAAAGAAACGTGGATTAATTTTTGCTTGCAAAGGCTCAAGAGAAAACAGCCTGCTCCGATCCTCATTTCTGAGCCAAGAGGCAAGCGGGGTTTCTTCTCCAAATAAACATGATCCATCCTGTTCCTAGAAACAAAAGTGATGCTGCAGTCATCTCTTGAACCAACTTGGCGCTGACATGGCAAAGGCAAAAAAGATCCTCAAGGCCTATCGCTGCTGGTATTTGATCCCAAGCCACCACAGGCCCATTCAAAAGTAAGCGCAGTCATGAAGAAGCTACAAAAGCCTACTAAAGGCTGATTTTAATCAATTTAAAAAAAACAGCAAGCTTGGAGTTGACATTTGGTTAACATTCAAGCTCAGCACTAGTACTGGCAAATGTACCGAAAGCCTCTGAACAAACTCATGATATTATGATTCATTCTGAGCTGAAAATAGAAGGTGGAGTGTTTCATTTTATTTGTTTAAACAGCGCAAGTTTCCTTTGTGAGCTACATGCCAATGCCAGCACACGAATTTAAGCACAAACACTCCAACATCCAGGACAGACTAATTTCATGGTTAATAAATTTAGGGACAAGGCAGCAGTTTGATACGGTCTCACCCAAGAGCTCTTCATCTGGGAAAACAGAAGTAAACAGGGAGATTTACACAACTATTAGACTTCTATAGCCCTGGCCTAATAATTTAAGTGGAATACTAAGAGGACTACATTTCCAAGAGTCTGAAGTAGCACTATCGCAACCGTGGCAAATTATACTTGACCACCCACCCTCAGCAAGCAATTCCTCCTGACAGACAAATAAAATATCATTACTTTGCTCATTACCCATGGGAAAGGTTATAAAGCCAGTCCCTTTTGCACCTGAGATTGTAAGTTTTCATGGAAACTGTGCAAGGCAGCACTGCTGCCGAATCCTGACTGATTAATAATGTTGATGAGACAGCACTGTTTCACAGAAAAGCCAATTTACAAGACAGTGCGCCACTACTGATAAGCATCTCCACCAGGACGGCTCTGCTGGTGTAACGTTAGAAGAGGGTTTGAGCCACAGACACTGCCTGAATTCATAAATCAGTGTTGATGTCAAGGACACAGAGGAGGCTGGATGCACAAGAGCTGCCAGGCATCATAAAATGCAAATTTTATATTTGTCCACATCGTATGTGGAAGCACGCCTCCCTTTCTTTTTGGGGGAAAGTACGTATGGGGTTCCTGGCATGTGTGACCGATACCTTAACGGTTACAGAATTATTTCAGAGCAGAATGAATAAGGCACAGCATGTTCATAAGCAGCCACAGCTACCAGTGAGTACAGAAACTATCACTGCTGAAGCCCAGATTCAATTAATTAAACTGACTGTGGATAGTTACTTTACTTCTCTGAAAATTTCTCTTAAATGCAATATTGGTATGACTTGATAGAAAGCAGCCATGAGGAGAGGAGAGGGGGATGACTGCTGCTCTGTCTCGTTCAGACACGCCTGCTCAGCTGAAAAGCCAAATCCCACATGTGCCATCACTAATCCATCTGCTCTGCGCCTCTTCTGCCCTATTGTCAGGGCACAGACTGGGATAGCTGACGGCTACTTCCACACGCAGCAACTAACCCCTTTGTTTCAGAAATCAACAGGAAACGGAGACTTCACAGAGCTGTACCAATTCAACATGAAAAGAACACCAGGCGTATTTACATCGCAACTACCTAGTTAGGCTTTTCTGCAAATGCTCTGAGCTAGCAGAAGACGCATTTCTGCTGACTGCTCCTAGCACTGTTTCTACTGCTAAGTTATCCCCTCCATACACGTGTGCTACGATTTCACTCTGAACGCAAAGAAAAGCTTTCAGATATATTCTAGGAAGACGAATGACTCAGATTATTATATAAAGACTGAATTATCTGTCATGGGCGTTACAATTTACCACTGCTCGTAGCACTCTAGAGGTCTGTACAGAACGAGCAGGCAACGACACCCTACGCAGCACAGAGAATTCACATACCACTATTCCACCAAAGCGCTGAAAGATGTTGCGAAGGTCATGGTAGGTGGTTGTTTTCTCCAGGTTGCCAATGAAGAGAGTTCTCGTTGCTTTTGGGTGGAACTCATCTATCCTTTCATCCAAAGGACGAAATTCATTCTCGCTTTCTGTTTCTAGAAGCAAAAGAGAGCAAGAAATTTGTAACGCACGGAGGTGTTTTTCATGTGGGTTCGGTTCACATCAATTTGTTTGCTCAAGTCTACTTCCTGACGAGCAGATATGATCTGAACACGATTAACCAATGTCTTTGACAAAAATACGCAGTACTACACTTGTGAATTGTGTTATTTACACAGAATTTGAAATCTCTGCATCACACCACTGAGTGAGTACTGAGGAATTTGAGCATCCCCAGGTGAAAAGTCGCTGCATACTCCAGCTGCTTCTCTAGATATTTTTTAACAAACATTAATGCTTACCATGAATTCAAATAAGGCTTCACCGTGCTTGGGGGGGGAGCTGCACATGGAAGAAGTTTGTTTTCACAAATAAATTTTTAAACAAGCAACTGAAGTACAGACTGACAACCACATGCTCAATGCTATAGTTTTCACCGGTCTGTCATTCGGGCTACACCGCCTTAGCCTCAAAAATGCAGCCATCGTTAGCTGTTTTAATTAAAAGCAGAAAAACCGAGCCTTTGAGGACTCAGTGCTATGCTTACACCACCCACTGGCTTCTGCTCTGCTGAGATATGGAAGATGAGATCGTTTCTTCCAGCAGCCAGCAGATCCTACTGCTTGAGAGGATGGCAGGTTTCCTTCTCCGAGGTTTCAGACTGGAACTCTCTCCCTGTTTGACCTAAGCGCATCCACTCTTCTTGCTCTGGAATTTATTCTGGCGTATTTCGCAGTTTCTTTAAATTATGCTTCTGCAGAAAGGCAGCTTTAATGTTTCTCACTCCTATGCTGCCTCTTTACAACAGCCCGTGAATATGCCCAGTGCGGTCACATCTCCAGCGCAAGAAGGGCATGGACCTTACCTGGTCCTATCCAGGCCGTGACTTCAATCTGCATGCCAAAGAAAAGTTTTCCTTTTGAGGCATTTAGTGCTTTTTCCTGGTCCTCCTGCTGCCGGAAGAACACCAGTCCATACCGTTCCTCAGAAGCCCCGTGAATCTGCACCGATGTCACCTTTCCGTACTTCTTGAATTCGTGAAAAAGTCCATCTTTAAGGCTTGTATCTAAACCAACAAATAAACATTAGTACTACAAAAACATATTTTTTACCAATCTAACAGCACCACAAAAGTCATGAAGAAACCTGATCTTCCTTCTGAAATGTGACTTCACCCAGTTTAACCTGAATCTCAGTGTTCACAGAAGTGCCTTTTTAATTTTGGGTGTTAATTTTGCCACTGTCAAAAGCTTCTGGCTGATCTTTCTCTTTGCCTTGATTTTTAAACCCAAGAAACTACACACGCAAGGTTTCACATGGCTGCAGCTGGCAGTGTATGGTTATTACTTCTCAGAGACATCCAATTCAAGATGAAGAAGAAATAAACAGTGTTACTGCATTAATAATCCCACACGGATGCTGCATAGAGCAGTTTTCCAAAGCTGGGATGAGGCACCTGGAACGGAGATCCAAGTTACACAGCATTCAGGTCAGTCAATTCAGAGAGGTAACTACGCAGATTAACCAGATTTTGCAAACTCACGACCACACAATCTCTGCCTGGGATCTGTGGGGCATTCACCTTGGCATCGCATCACTTCAAGGAATATTACAGAAGTAAAATCTATACAAAGAATATTAACATTGTGAGGTATGCTGCTCACAGAGTTAATACGTATTATTTTAATCGAGCCAGTGCCTCTGTATCCATGAGTTATGTTACAACTGTCTTACAAATGACCCCATGCTGGTTTTTTTCTGTGGGACCTCTCCTGCGTTCAGCACAGGGAATGGAGAGCAATCGTGCACACTCCTCAGTGTGTGGTTCCTTGCATTATTTACCGTGCAATATTTGATGCCATTACGAATATGCCCGTGGGTGTTTTACAGCACTCAACGCTGCAACAGAAAACCCTGAAGTTTTTGGATTAAGAAAGAAACTGAGGCATGGCAAGAATAAGCGGTCCAAGCTTTAAGTGAAAAAATTGAGACGCTTCAGGTTTTTCCCTGGGGAAATCCACATTACTGTTTCAAAGCACCAGCTCCAGTAGCTGTAAGTGCTCAAGCCCAGGGACTCGAGCTAGGGACCTGCAGGATTTCTCACAGATGGTCACTAATTAAGCAATTTTCCCACCGTCACACAAGAACCGAGGCAGAAGCAGAGAGAGAATCCTGTCCTCAGAGGCAGCACGTGGCTGCCGTGCCAAAGACACGATAAAGGTTATTTAACCGGTCCCTAACCGGCTTCCTATTCCTTTTCTGGCTATTTCACTTTCCCAAGTGAATTTACCTGTTGAGCGCACTGGAAGATTCTGAACCTTGATCCCAAAACTTTTCCGGGGTTCATCTTTCTCCAGAGATGGAAGCAGCTGGGATGCAGGCGCTGGGACGGCTGTCGACTGAACTGACCGTGCCGGGGACTCGTCGCTCGAGCTGCTGCTGGAGTCACTGCTATAAACGGCGTGAAGGAAACGACAGATGAGTGCATGGAGAGGCAAAGCGACCAGAGGACACAGGTATTTTAATTAAAAAGCAAAACGTCAGAGTTTTTGCTCATCTACGGGCCTTTCTCTCTCCTTTTGCTTGATGCAGAAAATCCAGTTTCCGTAACACAGCCCAGTTACATACAGGAATTTAAGCCATTCTACAAATATTCTCCTACAAAGCCCTCAGAGGAGACAGTCAGGGAAACTGAAATATGGGTAAAATGTCAGACAGATCCTGTTACGCACCGTGACAATAACAGAGATTTAATTAAGTGTAATACAATGTTGTATCAGCTTAGGAGCTGTGTGGAAAGACTGGAGAAACACAGAGAGGGTACACAGGTCTGCCGATGCCTGCAAGTCTCTCCCCACGCTCGCACGTACAAAAAACAAATATTATCGTGCTCTCAGGCGCCGCTGTCAATCCGAGAGTTGACCCTGGAGTTCTCCCTATTGCCTCCTGCACATCTTTTTTAAAAGATCCATACCTCTGACGATATGAAAACGTCGTGCGAGAAAATCACGGCAGGTTTTTTGCTCAGGAATAACCTAGGCAATGTATGAACCACCAAACACTGTTTACAAGCTCAGCCTCAACAGCCAACTTCAGGGTATGAAGAATTCAGACCCCAGAACATCTTTTATAAACAATAATTACAGCAGAACAGGATTTGCATATTAGATCACACAGGGAGTCAGTCTAGTCCACTGACTCTTGACGGTGCAGATCATTAGATGCTTTGCAGGAGAGTAAGAAATACAGAGAATATTATTATTAAAGCGTGCCCAGTGGGGACACGTCATCTTCTTCAGTGGCTGATTTCTTCCCCGAGGCATGAGGGCTTATAACATCGCTAAAAATAATTTTGTCTGACATAACCCTGGAGACTCTCGTTCTCCGTTACACGAGCAGCCTTCTAAAAAATTCTGCCAGAATTTTAACTTGGAGGCTGGAGGGGGGAGATCTGCCACGTACAAAAATAACCCTGTCAGTTTTAGATTTGCTGCTTTCAATCTCATTTTTATGTTCTTCTCCACATCGTATCAGAAAAACGATAAGCAAGTCTATCTTTTTCTTATGTTAAACTATTTCATAGGCTTCTTATATTGCCTCTCCACATTAAACCATTTAACCTTTTTCTAGTCTCTTCTCAGGGAAACCATTTCAGGCTTCTAATCATTTTCACGATTGGATTTTGAGACCTCTTCTACTACACTCCTTTTTTGTGGGTGTACAGTTTATGTAACGCATGGGTAACAGCCACAGAGTCATTTTTCTTAAAACATTCCAGAAAACTGTTTTTTTTTCCCGGACATGCTGGCGTAACGAGAGCCGTGGCACGTTACTAAAAGCCCCTGGGCCCTGTCCCCATTATATTTGGAGGCGCAGAAGAGAAGGCAATCTCCGTCCCAAAACGCTTGCAAACAATCGAAGGATAAAAAAACCACGCCAGACCAAGACAAAACCAAAGAAAAAGGTCAAAGATTCAGAAGTTATAATAAACATGAGAAACTCTCCTCCCATTCTCACCCTCTCCCTACAGCCCTCCCGCCCAGCTGACGTGGAGCCGCTTCGCACGTCGGTGCCTTTCCCACACGCTCTCCTCCTACTGCTCCGGCCCCGGAGGAGGAAGCTCAGCGTCGCTTTGGGAGAGGAGAGGAGATAAAGCCGTGCCAGAAAAGGAGTGAGAAACTGAGGCCTTCCTCCTGCCCTCCTCTTCCGCGCAGCGCTCTGCTACACGCTCGCCAAGGGGCAGCCGCCCGGCACCTCCCAGCCGGTTCCTTCACACACGATAATGTTTCCCCTCCAACCTGCAGCCCCTTGCGTTTCTCAGCTCTCAATTTCCTACCACCAAGGTGCCCGTTGTTCACAGCCTCATTCTTCTGCCGAATTCGTAAACCGCCTTTCTTTTTGCCTCACCCGCGTTTGTGCAACCTGCTTTCGTGCCCTAATAAACGACTTCATTGCCGCAAGTGAAGCACGCTGCAATTCGCTCCCCGTCTTTTGCCCATTTACCCCGTTCTGCCTCCTACCTTTCTGCTAACTCTGGCAATGCTGCATCACCCCAAGCCCTCATTACATTGGAGTTCTCCTCTACAGCATTTTGGGAAAAGGAGGACAAACGCGGCCCCACGTGAACAAGGCCTTCAGTAGTCTCAAGGGGTAACATCAGCAGTCGCCTACTACTATGAAATAAATTGGCAAAGAATAGAGAAACTTAGTTTAATACACAAATATAGTCAGGGAATGTGTGTGGGGAGAATCTGAAAATAATTCCCAAGCTGAGAGCAGTACCGCGTGGTTTACCATTCCCCTGGGGAATGCTAAAATAAGACTTTTAGGGCTGCAGGAAGCCTCTGCCCCATACACATTTTTATTTTCCCTCCTCACATCGTGATGCTCAGTATTATGATCAACTACATACTTCCTGAAGCATGTTATATATTAATTTACTAAGACTGTATCTTTTAAGTAAGAGGCAGCATTGAATTACTATTTAAGCAGTGCTTTAAAATGGCACCAGGCTATTTTTAGCTTTTTTTTTTTTTTTTAATGAGGATGTTTAAAATATGGAACATACTGTTAAAATCACAGCATTCTCCTGGGGAAAAAAAAGATCTCCGGGTAACACTGTAAGAAGTCCGAGCCATGAAACAGCAGTCTAACAGGGTGATAAATTCTACAAGAGTTTGAATTCCACACGACTTTGGGAAACAAGGATCATGCTGATAATTTCCACTTCCCCAGGGAGCTTTAGGGATACGTGTCCCTAAGCAAATTGAGACTTTCTGAGACATTCCAGAAAAAAATTCATTATTTCCTGACTCTGTTTTTAGAAAGGAAAAAAAAACCGTAGCAAGAACAATTGCCCTTTCTTTAGGGAAAGCCTCATCGCTTTTCCAGTTGAAGAAACGTGGATATAATAATTCAAAAGTAAGTCAAAGGTTTTAAGTTCTGTGAATAGGAGAATGATGGAAGAGTTAATTATAGCTGCTGTGTCATCCCGTTATAGCACACAGCAGAATCAAAATAAAGCATCTGACAGTGAATTATGTGCAGTCTCAAGCAGAAAAACAGAACTCTTTTTCAACTACCCCAGCTTTAAAAATATACAAAACTAAAGCACGTAAGCTGCACAAAGACGTGTTCCCAGAATATTAAAATGAGAATATGGCTTTTCTTTTCCCTGTGAGGAATTTTGAAAACAACTGTCCTTTGCCAACTCACAGGAAATAAGTTACTGAAAATTCTTCCAGCAAAATCAGTTTTAGAAAAACAAGCTAGGGAAATTTTAACATGGGAATATTAACAGATAGGTTAAAACCACAGCTCTGATACCCTGCTTCTAGAAAGCGTTTCAAGTAATCGATAGGTCCTGGGGCAGGCCAAAAATGGCATAAAGAAAATGGCTTTGTAACTTCATTTTGCGCTTCCGCTAACAGTATTAAACCCACAATGATTTTTTCCAGAAGCAGAGCGTGCTCTGGCACACAGCCTTTTCCCAACACGGGAAAACCTGCTCTTCAACATCCATGTAAACTCAGCGGCGCAGAATGCCAGCACGCAGCAAAACCGATCTCCTGAGCTGTCACAACACACGCGTTTCACAGAGAGGGAGCCCGTGCTGGGAATTTGCTTTTTTAAACATCTCGGGCTTACAGCTTCGGTTGCCTCTTCGGCGGTTTGCAGACTTCTGGTGACGTATGCTCATTTATGAAGAACTTGAAGTTTTAACCAGGAAGGATTCCAGATGCTCTTTTGTCTGGCCCAGACAGCTTCTCAAATTCATTTCACTCCAGCTTTTATCATAGCATCGTAGCACTGTAGAATGGAGATTTTTGATTTTACTGCTGGCAAAACCAGATGGAAAACCTGAGCTCTAAAGGAGATTGCTCTTACTTTAATAAGGAGGTGGACATAACATCCTTCTCTTACACGTGCGCTCTAGTATAAGAGTAGTTTACGAGCCCTTTTAAAAATATTAATCTGCCCTCCATAATTGCCTACAGTGTTTTACAAGTACCTAGGATGTGTGTGTTCTCACTCACAGTATTTTTCTACGTACCTACTGTGTATTAATCGACATAAAATTTATTCATAATCCAGTCTTCACGTTCTATCCATATGGGTTGAGTCCCAAAGACTCATTGTGTGAGAATCTAGCCATGGGGTTCAGCTCACAAAAATGGGCCCCAACCATGGCCTGTGTCAGTACGCTGCAGCTAATTTAGCACACGGAATTTTCCTTTTCTCACTTACAACTGCAAAGATGACATTTCAAATCCTGGTGCGCGCATCCTACATTACCAGTCCTCGTTTCCACAGAAATATCTCATTTTCAAAGTAATTGCATTTTGCAGTTCTAGTAACTAACTACAAAGTTACGCTCTGTTCATGTATGAAAAATGAAAGCACTTGAGCAAAGAACACAAAGTGAGCCGTTCTCTTTGTTCCCCGGCAAAAAAAGAGATAAAAGAGACTCCAAACCAGTCGATGGAACAGGATACCCGCTGCTTTTCGTCAATGGCAGCTGCGCTGAATCAAGGATCTCACAACCTGCCCTACCCTTTTGCAATTTTAAAATGTGGGACAATTGTCATTTCTGCAAATTGATTTGAGAACGCTGAGTCAGCTGTACGGCTGGTGACTACCCTCCTTATGGCAAGCAGGAAACACCGCGGCCCGCGTGGAAAATAAAGCAGAAAGAAGCACTAACGCGTGCTGCGGGCGATGCGCTGCCAAACTTCAGGCTTTAAAAAAAAAACCTAAAACCAACCTCCAATTGTCAGAGCAAGTTAAGAAACAAGCCACTTAAAATCACTGGAAACCCTTTTCATTTTTCGAGGGAACACATGCCAAATTTCAGCAGGGAAAAAAGTAAAAAAAATTTTTTTTTTTTTTTAAATAGCTGCCTTCAAAAAATGTTTAACCAGAACTGGTAAATGATCCAGGATTCTTTTTAC